CAGCTGTAAAATGGCTGCTAATGCTATTCTTATGGAGAACACATTACTTTTGTGTAGAAACAGTTTGTTGTTTGTTTTTGTTTGCTTTTGATGATGTTATTTTCAATAGATTATTTGAATCACTCCATAAGTAAATCACTCTGCTAAAGGCAGCAAACATATACTTGTTTGTGAATAAATACGGTACTGTCATACTAAGGTAGATTTAGTTTCGTGATTAACTTGCATAAAAAAGGATTCCCTGATTTGAATGTTAGACATTGCCTTCGTGAAATATAAAAAGGCAAATAAAGGCAAAGAAGGTGTGTTGAGTTATGCGTAGTTCTTGGCCAAAACAGCTAAATCAAAATAATAGTTTATACTCCTTTTGTAAAAGGTTTAACAAAATTAGTGTGAAGTAAAGGTATCCCATTGGCCAAACCTAACCTGATCAACATAAAAAACTACAATAATTAGCCTAGTGTAAGATTATTAGGTGGTATTCCTCGTAAAGGTGCGATTGACTTGACACCACCACATAAAGTTTGACACCACCATAAAATAAGTCTAATCATCCGCTGATTCCTAACTCATTTGCGATTGGACGGGTTCCATTACCCAGTTATCGAAACCAATTACGAAAATACTTTTCATCAGCATTTACATGCATATTTTTGGTTTGTTTAAAAAACGTAAAGAAACAGAAACTACATCTAGGTTTTACTGTTATATATGGATGCTCCATTTACTACTATACCATACTTGCTAGGCTATATTATTTTAACCTTTTTTGCTTGGAACGTAAAGACAGTACCTGTTTCAAATCTCCTCCAAACAATATTGTTTTTCCGCCTATTGGAACTTGTCATAGTACTCACATAGTTAAGAAATTTATTTCCTGATCAAACCTATTTTATCTTTATTCCCAGGTTATTTTGTAAGAGTAGCCGTTGAGGTTATTTCAATTCATACCAAATATTGATTATATACAATAAATAAAAATTATAGGCCCTATTATATACAATTATATACAAAACTTGATATATACAATAAATCTGAAAATTTAAAATGTTAGTTAATTTACAAAGAAGGTCTAGAATAAATCTAGAACATGTGTTTTGAAATATAAACAAAGCAGAAGTTTTCCATCTTGAATCGTTAATTATTTAGTCAACGTGGTTATTTCATGTTAAACGTTAAAAATACACAAATTTGAAAAGTTTCACAGTAAAATAATTTACTTCAACATTCTATAACCCTAAAAAGTCTTAATTAATATAGGTAACCTTAACCCTGGTTTTATATAGTATACAGTATGTTGCAGAATTGACTAGCAAATGGAGTAATCCAAATGTAATTTTGCATACTGACTTAAAGATAAATCACGATCAAAAAAGTTTTGGAATTTCACTACCGGTATTTTTCCCACCGTTACGGGATCGAGACCTTTAATTTGAGCCCTTTCCGGTCGTTCTACAACTTCCCAGTTGCCCACAATTTTGACGCAAAGAATCGGCTTACGTCATTAATATATAGTTGTGTCATAATTTAAAAAATCCGGTACTGCAGTAAAGCAGTATAAAAAATTCAGGCTATGAATCATGAAACAGTCTTGTTCCCCATCCGTGGGGCAGGACTAAAATTGAAGTTTAAATTTTGATTTTAAAATAGCCACCTAAGTAATCATTCTCTAATTGTTATGGAATATGCTCAGGTTCATTGTTAATAAGTATGTGCAATATTTGATATAATACTAAAATTTGAAGGCTTTACTTTCAATGTCCTTTATTTTATTGTTATATTTAAAAGTTATTGCTAAAACTAATATTTGTAATTGTAATTTATAACATTAAAGATTCCGTGCTTGCAATTATACAGGTAGTAATAAAGTTTAGTTTTTGAAATCCGAATAGAATTAATAATAAATAAAAAAAAAACAGTATTTTCTACCACTTGTAGCTACGGCCACCAGTTCTGGTTACGATAGTACAGTAATAATTCCCTGTGTTGGGAGGGAAACGCCACCGAGCGTCCTTACTCGATATAATGGGGGCGAAAAGCGACGAATTACCCACCCAGCCGTGGCGCGGGGATTTCTGAAGCGTCCGTCCGGGTGAAACACCATTTTGAGGGTGTCCGCGTCAAACACGTCCGGGCTAAACACGGAGCCGTTCCCCGAGGCCCAACCTCCGTTTTCCCAGCACCGGATACCTGACGTGCCGGGGGTCACCCGTCACAATGTAGAGCCCGACCTCTACATCCATGCCGCACTCCCTGACCAAGGACCGAAGTGGCTGGTTTCTCACGACTCACTGAGAATACCCATCGGCAGTGCAGAGCACACATCAACCCCTGCAAACACAACAGGGGCACTCCCAGGGACTCCCAGTAAGGGCGTCGGTCACCCTTTTAGTCGCCTCTTACGACAAGCCCGGGAAGGCTGCGGTTCTATTCTAACCCCGAAACCGCAGGGGGATGGATGACCATAATGGAATAAACCACTATCTAATAATTCATAATCCATTTAAGGACAGGATCTATGTTGTTACCAATTTTATTAAAATTTCCCAACTTAAACTTTAATACTTTTTTTCAATGAAATGGCGTCCATACAAAGTAGGTAACAATCAATTGCCGTTATTGATTAATAAAAAAAACATTATACGCAGAATTTTGTGTTTTCCAAACTAACCACAGGTGCATTTTTGTATAGCATGCGTCGTTTAGGAGTTTTAAGCCGAAAACTGGTCAAATAATCAACCTTTTGGCCATGTTGATGAAAATATCCCACCTTTGAAAAGCTACAGCGGCTAAACGGCTCGGCCGATTTTGACGTATTTAACATCAATCGACGCGGAATTTATTGCACTAAAAGACACCCTTGAACAACATTTTCCTTAGGATTCGTTATTTAGGAGTTATAAGCGAAAAACTGAAAAAAGTGCAACATTTTCATAGTTTTTCGACTCCCAAAACTTAAGCAGACGTCAGAATCCGTCGCAAACTCACAGGAGTCTTATTTGGGACCCCCAAAAGGTATTAAAACACTTTCCAGCTTTAGACGATGTTTTGGGGAGCACACCCTATATTTGATCTAATTTGCCTGGACTATTAATATTTTGTAAATGTTTGAATATAACAATTTCTATAGAAAAAATAATTATAAAACGTCCAAAATGTCACTCTCCTGGTATGTCCCAACTGTGTTAGAAAAGGTTAAAACTTTAAAAAAATATTCCTGTACTCAGCAGTTCTAATTTCTAAAAATAAACAAAGGATACCATTCATTAAGTATAAACATAAACTTCATCATTTAAGTACAGTATATATTAGCATAGATAAAACATAGCCGAATAGTTTAGTGTCCGTCTTCAAATGTGAAGGTCACGGGTTCAATCCCGATCTATCTCTTGTATGACAGAGATAGTAGTAGTACCAAGATTTGTACTGTAGAATTGTAGACCTAATACCTAATAATGACACCCTTGCAATAAAATATATCCTCAAGCATAGGAAACTATAACCATGCGTTTAGTATCAGAACCAACTGTTTTCTGTTATATCACGAATTAAATCACAATTCAAAACTACTAAGGCAGCTGAGAAAAGAAAAGAGGTCAGTTCTCCAGGGTGATGTGAATTACTATGTAATGGAGAACACCTTTAATTAGTATGTTTTATCTATGATAAAACATACTTCCAGCTCAGTGGTTATATTGCTCACCTAATAACCCAAAGGGCACCGGTTCGATCTGAGAAAATTGTGAACTGTTTTTTTTTAACTCTATTTAATTTACAATCTGTTCAAGTTGAACAATAAGCAAATGAATATAAATAGTAATACAAAAATAACTTGAAGAACATGAGCTAGTGATTGACCACCGTCAACACTAGCTAACAAAGAGAATTTTGATAACACTTAGCCGAATCTGAATGGTAGGTCCAATATCGTAATGTCGCTTCAGTCTGTAAATGGTGTTGTGATTGTCCAATAAATTAAGTGCAAGATGATTTGAATGATTTTCCAATTTTATAATGTATTTTTCACTAGATTTTGTAATTTCTTCTTTTACTGTTCGAATTTGAAGATCATTGTATGTGAAGTGTTCTGTTGGTAACAAAGCAAGGAGCGTTGACAATTTTACGTAATAATTTTGATTGGTAACGTTGAATAATTTCAATGTTTGAGGTACTTGCTGATCCCCAAAGCTGAATAGTGAACTGTGGAGCTTTTTGATGGTTTGAAACTGGACCCAGCTGTCTCTGATCATTGGGCTTTCAATAAATGGTCGCCTGACTAATGAATCATCAGGTCTTATTCAGTAAAGCTACACAAGGCGTTACACTCCATTACACTCATATTTGGGTTACAATTTACACACATATAGGTGGCGGTGGCGTCCCCATATCAAATGAATATGAATATATAAGTAAGTAAGAACTAGCAACTTAGACTTAAAACGGGACTGTCCCGTTCAAAACCTTACCGAACCTTGTTCGAGAAACTTGCAGCACCACAAGTCCGCCATCGTCTCTTTCTCCTTGCATCAGCCAAATCATAGATAAAATATACTCCTGCCAAATGGTTAAGATTTATGAAATACGTGAAGGATAAAATCACACGCTCTTTCGCCATACAAACTAACACTGGCTAGAGTGGACGAAAAACAAATTGGTATCTTGTTCCCGAAACTGTGTTACAAAGTACAGATTGACGGTAGCTGATCAATGGTTTCATTGGCCAGACTAGTATAATGCTATTAATAGAGGACATTATTTGTCCAATATAACAATTATTTAATTCTTGAACCATCGAGTTCGCAATACGATACATTATGCTTAAACCCATAATCAACGACGTTTCTGGTTATTAGTGGTTACTATACTCTTTTCCCTGTGCTATCCTGCATTTTCTGGCGTCTGCACTCATGATGCACACCAGCTGTCTTGTCTGTCACCTACCTCAGCTCCACACACAGCTGCTTATAGAAGCATGCAGCAACAGCAAACAAACAAAACAAGCTGCTTGTAAGTAGCTAACAAAATTGCAGCTAAAGTGCATTTCCATTTCTGATGCAGCATCTGTTTGTGTTGAATCCATGTAGAAATTGAGGTTGCTTCTTGTTATTTTAATTTACGTTTGTGACTCTAATTCCCATTTTGTGGGTTCCCGTATACCTAGAATACATTTTTCAATAATTGTGATTCTAAACGAGAAATGTAAGTGATACTCTGATACTCAGCTTTATTATTAATGCACGCAAGGCTATACAATCTTGTGTTAATTTTACCAATGTTTTTTTTTTATGTCAACGAATTCGATATTTAGGCCTATACTTATAGTTTTCTTAGCTAAGGTCTTAAGAAGTTTCTTTCTTAATTAAATGTGTCATGTGGTCATCCCTCTGAGGAGTAAGTTTTAGTTTTAGGTATTTTGGGGAATTATTGTGGCAAGATTTTTCAAACTTAGTTTTTTCTTTAATTTATTCTTGGTGGGTAAGGAGCTATAACTGAAATGCAATCCACCCAAATTTCTGGCTGATCAAATTCAATTTAAAAAAATGCAAGGTAATAACTAGGTCTAAGTATTTTACTTAATTTCTTAGGTCTAAGTTAGGGTATTTCAACATACTGTCCAGGGGTTACAGTTTCTTAACTGGGCTATGCTTATATCGATAGAAACTATCGATTCTATTACTTAGTAAACCTTCATTCGGTTTTTTTTTCATTATCAGCAAGTTTGGTTTGTTAGGTTAGCCTATTAAACTTAGCCTATCTAGTTAAATTTTATAATGCAGGTACATAGTTAAAAATATTGATTACTACTCAATATTTTCAATTTGATAGTTTCAATGGATATTAGCATATCCCAGTTAGTTAAGCAACTGTACCATTGTCGAGGCCTACTTAATAAGATAGGTAGCCTAAATAAAGTAAAAGTAACATAACAAAACTTTGAGAAGGAAATTTTAATAAATGAACATATCTTTGGTAGGGTATTGGGGTACACTTCCATATCTGTTGGCACAAACAATCGAATGATTAATATCGATTGATATATCGATTATTCGGTATATCGCTTGGTTAGTTAGGTAAAATTAACCTAACCTTACTGACCAAACGTTATATCGAATTAAACAATCGAATAACCGATATTACTCATTCGGTTACCTTTACCTTTACCTTCTGTCGTGAACTTTTACCAGAGAAAACTGGATTGTTCATGTCAATAAAAAATTTGGTTGTAGGCCTAACTTATGTGCCAACAGATATGGAAGTCTACCCGGGTATTGAAGAAAATTCAAACTGAGGAGAGGCAAATAGTTAGGCTAATAGGGAAAATTTTTGATCAGTCTATTGACTTCAACCAAACTTAAGTTATATACCCTATTTACAGAATGTCAAATGCTGAAGGTGGAGGAAGTTCCAAGGAAACTGATGAAGAAAATGGTGAAAGTGAATGTGAAGTAGGCTTAGTTGAAAGAGTAATAGAAGATTCCTGTCAAATTCCTTCTAATGATGAAGCATGTAGTGCAAATGAAACACTTAGGCCTACTACATCAGGAAAAGAACCCGAAAAAATCGAGCAAGATGGAGAGGCTAGTGAAGGAACAAACGCTGAAGGCTCATCAAATGCAGATCAACGGATTTCCGAGAGTTCAGAAACAACCGTTGACAACGATGTCGGTTTTGCCAGAAGACGAAGGAGTGTTGGGAGGCAATATCGACGGAGAAGTGGAGCAGACGAGTCATCTGAAGAGGATGCAATGTCGTCTGATGACTCTGAGTGGTTACCGTCTCGTGGCCCTTACCAACACTTGCAACACTTGCTGTCCAGGTCATCGTCAGACTCGAGTAATAATCTGTCGATGGAGTGTCAAGCCAGCGAAGACGACAAACCGACACCCAAAGTTCTCCTCAAGTGTAAGCCTAAACACAAGTGGTTTGCCATGAGAGAAATTGTGGGCAGGTGAGAGTCTAGATGTTGCATTAGTTTAAATTGGTATATTATAGGCTAAGTTAAGTTAGATTGTGAAGAGCAAACAACCATCCTTTGAAAAACTAACTTATAAATCTGCCTATTAACCAAGAACCCATCTCTTTTTTTATTTAACCATCTAAAACTTTGAGCATTTTACAAAAGTTAAGATAACTCTATAGACTAATAGGAACTAAGACTTACTCAAAAGATCGTTTAAAAATTGACAAATCGTGAAAGTTGAAGATTTCTGCCCTTCTACTCTGCCATTCTATCATAAATGGTAACTTGTAAAAATAGGGCGTAGCCTATTACAAACTTTTGAGTTGAAATTTCTCTAAACATAGGCCATACCAATTAAAATAAACAGAACAGGAAAAATTGTCTCTTGACTTTTTGATTGTATATAGATTTCAGTTTTGTTAGCCTATTAGTTATAGTAGCCTAATTTAAGTTAACTGCTAGATAATTTGTAGGATTAAATAAAGATTTAGGTCACTGTAATGAAAGAGTTCTAACTTTAGCCTATATTAATTTTTTTTAACCATCCATCATAGTTAGGCTAGTGATCGTTAATAATCATGAACCGTAATTAATTTGAATCTAGGCCAGCCCTAGAGTGTTACTGATATCTATGATAAAAAGTAATATTGTACCATAAAAGCTGAGTTATAATCCATAAGTTATTTATAATTGTATGCTTTAAGTTAGCATCTATATATATAAAAGAGGATGTTTGTATATATATTTGTTTGTTTGTTTGTTTGGGGGTGATAAACTCGGACACCGCTGAACCGATTGCCACGAAACTTGGTACATACGTGTAGAATGTCATGGAATAGGTTTATACACCATCAATTTCGTGATCCGTCCAATAGGCTCCGCCCCAGTGGCTCTGGAGTTTCCCATGTTAACCTTATGAGAAATGGAATTAATGAATCTTAACAGCTGTTTCAATTAAACAAGTTGGTTCTGTTCTATGATGTTCAATAGCATTAAAGTTACAAGGATTACCAACAGGGTGCAGCACTATTATTTCTTTTACATTTATGACAACAGCTAATTTGCAACCAAAAAGGTGAGTGAGCGTAGCGAACGAGCTAACCTGAAGGCAAGTGAGCGCAGCGAACGAGCTCCAACCTAAAGGTGAGTGAGCGTAGCGAACGAGCTCCAACCTAAAGGTGAGTGAGCGTAGCGAACGAACTTCAACCAGGACGTGATTGAGCCATGCGAACGAGATCATCTTGAAAATTAAGAAGTTAAACGGGGCAAAGCCCGCGGGTTACAGCTAGTACAATTATATATAACTTATGGCTATACTGTATTATTAGGTATTTTTAACTATAACTATACTGCCTTACTAATTTCATAAATAAAACTCAACTAAGAGAAAACTAAAATTGAATAATTTTACTCTTGTGTGTTGATCTAGACGTAGGAGACATGCTGAAACCATCTTCAATTTCAATCATAAATTTTTCAGGCATTAGTTTCACTGGTATAGTTTTTATTTCTACTTTTGTCACTTTTACAGGGAAACAGGTTGGAGTGCTCGCTTTCAAGGTCCAGAAAGATTTCAGCATCGATATTACGGATCTTTACATGCAGTACAGCGGTTAGAACTCATGTATAAATTAGACGAACATCGAGGATGTGTTAATAGCCTAAATTTTAACAGGTAAGACAAGACTCCTTCTATTGTTGTCAGTTTGACCATGGACAATAGAGTAAATATAGACTGTCAAAGAAAGGTTTTGCGATCTGCCGCTAGAGCGTTATCGCCGTTCGATGTCGGTTATCGGTATTCGATTCGGTGTCGACCACGACTACTCGCCAGCTGTTACCAGCACTACCACTCTTGCAAACGAAATGATTACTATATCACTAGTGTCGTCTTCTGCAATCGCGTAAAAATCATGAACATCTTCCGCGGCTGTGTAAACATCATCATTGAATGCCGTGGTCACGAAACGTCATCGCCGTCCACGATTGCGGCGAAATTGTGAACATCTTCAGCGGCCGTGTAGACATTATCGTCTTGCGCGATCGCAGAAAAGACGTGATCATTTTTCCCGCGGTCACGAAAACGACGTCTAGCACGGTCGCGGCTTAAGGACATCTCCCGCGGTCGTGTAGACATCATCATCGTTTTGTGCCGTCATGGAAACGTGATCGTTGTCTAGTGCGATCGAGATAAAATCATGAAATTTCCCGACTTTGATATCAGAATAAAGACTAATCCCAACTGTTCAAGACCATTTTGAAATGCAATACTAATACCTGACTTTCCCGTCTTCCCCGCATACTAGACACCCTGGTTAATTAGATTTTGACCTTGCAAATATAAAACAAAACCTTCCAATAACCCACTTCCTAAAATTATTGATTAATAAAGACAAACTTTGAATCATTGTAATGAAACTACAAAAGTATAACAAATACGTTTTAAAAAATACAATAAAATATGGCATTTAAATTATTTTATCGATTAATATTAAAAAAGTTAGTAAACTCCAATTCCGGGGAATCCCTCCAAAGTTGGCAACACTACTCCAAACTACCAAGTTGTTATGGAAACGGTCGCTAGCGCTTGATGATGCAGCGGTGTGCGCCGTAACTACACATTACCCCTAGCGGTCGGCGCCGGAATATACGCTAACCGCAGCACAGCTGACAGTCTATATTTATTTCTTTTTGTCTATGGTTTGACCAAATGGTATTCTACTGTAGGTAACAAAATAATATCTTTGACTATTCATACAACAACTTGACATTCCATCCTCATGTTAAAGTTGTAGCCAGGTTTTTAATAAAATTCGTCTTAGGAATTCAAGTGAGCCACCTACAGATTGCGCTGATCTAAATTACTGATTTGTGACGATTACATTATGGTTTTTACCAAGTCAAACTGATGGAATGACTTATTATGAGCTATAGCAACTGTTGTGACCCAGTAACTATGTCAGTAACAACAAATAAGGTACAAAATAGAGTTTTAGACACTAGCGCAATCTGTGACTGGCCCACACAACTACATTCTTCTTTAGTAAAAAATTGGCGACAGCTGATCCATATAGATGGGATGTCTTGTAATTGTATATGAAGAACCCTTTAACCTTTCTGCATGTATTACTGGATCAGTTACAACTACTGTTACTGTTGATGAAATTTGTCTTGTACACTTTTGGTCAACCTGTTACACATTATATTAAATCTAATATTCCTAATGATTTATATGGATATGCTTGAATTTCTTTTAATAACCTAAACGGACATATTTAGTTTAAATTAATTTTATTTCACCGATAGGACAGGTTGAAAATATTTCGTTGTGTTCTAATCTTTCATTGCAAAAGTTGTAGCAGGCCTAAATCATATTCATAAGTATTCCCAATTAATTTGTAGACCTACTATAACAGTGTTTTTGGTGTTTAAAACTCAAAACCTAGTTCAAATCTGAAATAAGACTAATATTTATCTTTACCGACCAGGTCTGGACAACTACTAGCCAGCGCCAGTGATGATAAGAGAGTCGTGTTGTGGGACTGGGCTGCGGACAGGTCTATACTGAGCTTTGACAGCGGTCACAGCGGAAATGTGTTCCAGGTAATTCTTTGAAGATTTTTGTGTTACTTCCTAACTATTAAATTGTTATGATATTCCTATTTTTTTAATAAGCCTACAGTAGACTCCCTCTTATCGGGACACCTTTTAACTGGACATCGGTTTAACCGGACTACACTCGGCGGAAATGACATCTCTTTAACCGGACAATTTTTATCAGCACATTGGTTTAACCGGATTAGATCGGCAGGAAGTGGGCAGTACTGAAACGACTGCTCTCGTGTGAAAGATTTGAGACCAGTGATCAAGTGTCTAAATACAATGCTCTCATAAATTTAAGTCGAATATCACAGTAAACAGTCCGTTTTAACAAGTTTTTGGGGACGTCGGTTTAACCGGAAAACCCGTTACCTGGACTGGCCTCGGTCCCGAGGAGTCAGGATGAGAGGGAGTCTACTGTACCAATCTTGCTTTGTATTAGAAAACATTCATTAACTTTTCCATTAGGTTAAGATCACTTGTATCCTAATTGAACCATTCCCAGACTAATATAAAAGGTTTAATTTACCTGTTGCGTCAATTGATCCTTAAGTTATGAAATAACTACGGCCGTTTCGTACTGCTAAACGAGTACATCTTCAGGTCATGAACGTTAAAATACGGCCTTCTCATCCATGGGTGGAGTCGTCAGCACATTTAGGACACATAACACGAACACATACGAAACAATAAAATATTTACAATTAAATACCCACGACATGGGCTGACGACTCCACCCATGGATGAGAAGGCCGTATTTTAACGTTCATGACCTGAAGATGTACTCGTTTAGCAGTACGAAACGGCCGTAGTTATTTCATAACTTAAGGATCAATTGACGCAACAGGTAAATTAAACCTTTTATATTTGCATTACCTTGATCCAGAGGCTAACCCATCATGAAATTCCCAGACTGCTTTATCGGCTTTATTTTATGACATCAAAGGACGGATGACCAATAAATCTACATTATGCTTCATTATCTGCTGTGAATGGGTAGGGTAGGAGATATTTCCGGCAATTCTGTAGCCATTCCGATTGGATTTTGTATGGTAACCAGCTGGTTCGTGCCACTAAGACAATGATTTCCCACACTCTGAAGAAGTGCTGTGGCTGTGACCTTTTACTTTACATACAACGCTACTGCACTGAACACTTTTTTTGACTTGTTAAAATTCAAGTTAATTTGCTTTTTAGCGAATTTCCCTATACTTTTGCATTTTGATGTCCACAAAGAACAAAAACACTACCAGTTGTGTGTGTTTTTTTTTTTTTTTTTCTTTTTTTTTTCTCCAATCTCCAGTGGTTGAAAAAGTGGTCAGTGACCACGAAAATTTCTAATTTTAATTTTGTGATGTTTTATGTGTCTCTATGGACTTATTTAAAGGTAAGCCTGCTTTCCTGTCAATTTCCTTAATAAAAAAGGCCTAATTTGGATCTTGAAGTTTGTTGTTGAAAATTCCAAAACAGTGTACATTTTAATTCCCATCTTTTATACTCCTATGGAGAAAAAAACAGTTCTAGTTTAGCCTACTTGTTAATGGATGTATGTTGATCAAATTTGGCAAATGTATTCATTTCATCCCATATAGGCTACTATTAATACTAGTATTAACATACTACTATTATTAACATACTACTATTATTAACATACTAACTATTATTAACATTTGTTCAAAAAACACTTTTTACCTTCACGTAGCAGCAAATCATAGTAGGTACTTGTTTGAGGTTTTCTAACTTCGTCTCTTTAATTAAGTCATTTATAATTTCATTTCATTTTAGCGAATTTCCCTAAGGGGAATACCTATTACCATAGGAGGCACGGTAAGACTACCCGAGATCGATATACTTATTGATTTTGATATCCCCAGATGCCAAAAACAATATTCGTTCAAATTTATGTGTATATGACTTATAAATCTATGAGTCTGTGAACACGATTAGGAATAATCGAGTAATTTTGGTCCGATTTTGAGGAAATTTTGCTTGAAGGTGTAGCGCTGAATTAACTTAAATGAGTTTGTGAACCGGCAAGATCAGGTCATAGGTACAATGTATTAAATGGGGTTTATAAATTTTGAGAAAATGGGGTTTTCAAGCCCTTATAACATGAAAATGCCCAATTTTCATCACAGCCATTTTGTATAAAAAAATAAATAAATTTGTAGGCCTATAGTGAAGCTTTGTTGTTAAATTTTCCTGAGGAAATTCCCAAAAACTATTTGTTCAAGATTCCTGTGTTATTCTTATGGAAAAAAAGAAAAGTGTTGTAGTTGCTTGTTTGTGGATGTATGTTGATCATATTTGTCAAATTTACTAAATCAATCCTACAGGCCTAATTAACATTAATTTGGTAAAAAAAGGAACTGTTTACCTTCCCCATAGCAGCAAACCTAAGTAGACATTAAATCTAATGTTATTTACATGGGGAATAAAATACAACTAATTTATGGAAATATTTTTTTGTAAAAATCCTATCAGACAAATTGAATTTTGCTTAGACTGCAGGTTTGCTGCGGCGGGGGTGTTTTAAGTGTTTTAAAGTACTTTTTCATTTTCTAGGCAAAATTCCTGCCACTGAGTGGCGACAGGCACATTGTAACTTGCGCTCGAGATGGCCAAGTGCGTCTGAGCGTTTTGAGTGGCATGGGAGTGTGTAAAGGCACTCGGCTGTTGGCGCACCACCAACGACCTACACACAAGCTGGCGATTCACCCCAACACACCACATGAGTTCCTCAGTGCAGGGGAGGATGGTCTAATTCTCAGCCACGATGTCCGCTCCAACAAATCCCACAGGTAAGAGTTTAGGATGTAATATAGAGCACTAAGCCTTAGTAGGATTTTTTATGGATAGCCAGGCTTACCCAAATAAGAGTAGGCTGGCTCAAAAAACGCAAAAATTAATGCTATTGTGTTCATTTGTTGTGTTTATTGTACGGTTATGTGTTTTTGTTTTGGATTGGACTCTTTACATTCAGGTAAATCTGCTATTCTCACAAAAAATCCTGAAGTGTAAGAGTTCACAGTTCTCATATGATGCGTTCGTTTGTAGTAACCTTTTCTTTGTCTATTTAATTTGGCCTGGATAAATTTCTTGTGTTTAGAAAAAGTAACTGTCGAATGTACTTTTGACTTTTACTTTCTTCCCATGTACCTACAATACTTAGTGTTAAGGTATGGAATTCTTTTTGTCAAAAGTTCCGTGTTAGAGTGGTAGTTAGAAGTTAGTGATGTTTGTGTGAGTGTGTGTATGTTGTGTCTGTATGAATGTGGATATGTAGCCTACAATGTATAGCTACAGACCACACCTGAGGTCCGATTTGGATGAAATTTGGTATCTGGATACTAATCCATGGTCTCTCTGGAGTTTTTTTTCATTTTTTTCAATTTTTTCTATAAAATAATGGAAAAATTTGATTGTAAAAAATCAGCATGAACAATTTAGTTTGAAATGTAGGCAAATGAAATGTTTGAAATGTTATAGTCCTTTTAACTTTTAAACAAAATTGTACAATCCCCATTGCTTAAACATTACGGTTTAAAAGATAAAGAGAAGCTTATTATATTTGCTTTTCTCATAAAAACCCATTAAATAGGCTAAGGAAAATACCCCTACTGAAGCAAACCTCCTAAGTGAATTTCAAATTGTCTGATTAGATTTTTACTAAAATATTTTCATAAATTAGTCATATTTATTCACTATTTAAATAATATTGAGATTTAACAAGTACTTTGGTTTTCTGCCAGGGGGAAAGGAAAAAGTGTTTCTTGGATTAAATAATACTGTTAGTACATGATAAAATAACTCAAATTTGACAAAAAAGTTAAATATGACAGAACTGCAAAGTACTGTTATAACCAATGTTATGATTGCAGAGTGACCATTGTGAAAGAAGCAAGCAAGAAGGTGGGGTTGTACAGCATCCAAAGCAACCCTGCGTTCAGCGATGAGTTTATTGTGACTGGTGAAGACCAGTACATCCGACTATACGACAGACGGAAGATCTCGAATGGAGTCCCTTTAAAAAAGTTCTGCCCTGTTCATCTGGTACAGTCATAATTGTTTAATTAGTTGAATGAATAAGTGATCAGAGGTAGATTATGTTAGTCTGTCTAGTGCCTTTCTCAGTAAAGTACAAAAACTAAAATTCTAACAAAGAGAAATTTGGTTCTACTATTTCTTTCTTTCCAACTGAATTCCTCTACGCGGTCAGTAATCGCGAAATATTCTACTTTGAATGCGTAGTGTAAAGCTTTTCTATTTGTTATGCTAGGGCAGACTTTTTCCCATTCGGGTAAGCATTTTGTTCCAACTATAAGCAACTCAGTATACTAACTTATTGGTAAAATAACGTAAAAATGGCCAAAAGGCCGCATATCGGGAGGGAATAAACTGAAAGTAAGAAAGTTTATTTATTTCACAAAAAAAAACAATATACACAGGGTGCTTGATATAAGTGTGCTAGTTTGCCAGCTGTTTTATTCGAAAGTTATAAGAGATATCAAAAATGTTAAAATGAAACTCCCTTGGATTTTTTATTTAAAAAATTTTGGTCGAGTTGAAAAACTAATTTTAGCTGCCATTTTTCCAATATGGCCGCCAACTTTGATTTTTCTTATTGAAGACCCCATATTTTATGATTTATTTAGGAATTAAATTCCATTTAAAACGTTTTTATTCTTGGCATTTTTTTTCTAAAGCTACTCATTTAGGAGTTACAGCGTGTTAAAACTAAGAAAATATGATTTGCAGTGTACATTCTGCGCCATGGAGCTCCTATACAAATAAGTTTAGAGAGAAAATGCTAAGAGTTAGTCCTAAAATTGCATCTGCACCCTGTATTTGACAATAAATATATACATACTAAGAAATAATTTTATCCAAAATAGCAAGTAATGTGCTTTACTGTTTAAAAGTGTTCATTGAGATTGATAGATCTAGATATTTATAGCTCTTGTGGAGTAGATCTAGCTATTTATAGCTCTTGTGGAGTCTGAACAATCTCGGCTTATTGCCACAGACGATTTTAACATCGTAATACTTTTTTATTTCGATTTATTAAATTACCTGTATGTTTTGAATGACCAATACTATCTTTAATGAAGTTTCTACAAACATGTTTGCAATAATTTCAAATAGACCTTTCTAATCTGTAATGATTTTCAGTTAAAGTCAGATTCGCTGCTGCATGTAACTTGCGCCGTGTTCAACTGTAATGGTACAGAAGTGATCGGGTCATACAACGATGATGACATTTACCTTTTCGACACAAGACTTCCACCTGGCACGGACTACCAGCATAAATACGAGGGACATCGGAACAGTATGACAGGTAACGTAGAATCACGTCTTAAAATTTTAAGTAAAATCTAAATCTTTACTATTGATACAACTAGACATTCAATCCCCATATTAAAGTTGACACCAGTTTTTTTATGAAGATCATCATAAGTATTTTATGTGAGCCACCGATAGATTGTGCTGATGTAAATGTAAATTACTCATTTCTATTGAATATACACACCTTTTAGCGAATTTCCCTATAGGGAAGTACAGGGCCGGTTTAACCCATACGCGAACTACGCTGCCGCATATGGCGCCACGAAAAAGTGGCGCCGTGGCGCCAACCGAACATTTTTTTTTTACGTGAACAACGTAATTTAATTTTGTTTATTTTTGCCCAGAGTTCAAGTATTCAAAGCACCACAATAAAGGCATTTATTCTGTTTGTACCAACAGCACTTTTTAAAAATTTGTATATTTGTACAGCACTACAACTCAAGGACTCAATGCCATTCGCAGTTTCGATTTGAAGTGAGCTTACGCAGACGCTCGGCAGTCGGCAGCGTAGTGCCAGCGCGGCACCTGTGGGTTTCATTTCACGACTCGCTCACAAGTAGGCCTAACCACGCCACTTGTCACAACAAGAAAGTTCTCCTTTCTTTCACTCCCTTCTGCCTCTGATCCTAGAGCAGAGCATTACGTTGTATTGCACTCTTTTAGTTGTATACGTAGGCCTATACCGTATCGGTGTCGTATTGGCATTGTTTTGATGATTCATGATTGTTGATAAGCGAATGATTACGAGTGTTTTAAGTTTAATTTATAATTAGCGCATTAAATAAGAAGAAAGTATAAACTGAATAAATGAGTAGGTATATATAGTCAATGGTAAAACCTCTTGAGAGCCGATACTATGAAAACAATGGCAGAAAAAAAGAAACCGTCTGGCACTTATTATAGAAAGCGTAAGGCGAATTTGGAAGAGGAAGAAAAAAAACCAAATCAATGAGTAGATTTTTGTAGAAATCATCTGGTGGCGAGTCCAGTCAGCCCAAAGAAGTCACGGATAGAAGACGGCAATGACGTAGGTATTTATTTATTTATTTTCCAAGGAAAGATCAAAACAAGCAGCTGATCACAAACGGAAACATTACGTCATTGCCATCTTCTATCGTGACGTCGACATCATGCTTGACGAGCATTAGGCCTACGGCCTGTTTTTTTTTTTGTGGCCTTGGTTTTGCTAAAGTTTATATGATAAGTGTGTATAAATGTCACATTTCTGCGAATAACAAACAGTCTTTTATTGCAAGTTAGTTTTCATCTACCCAAACTTATAAAAAAAGTTCTTCCCAAAATTATTGGGAAAAAATTCACAAATACGGTTAAGTTATGTTCATGGGTTTTGGGGGGAGATTCTAAGTGGCGCTGATTCGGGTGTTCGCTTAACTTTGAAAAATTCCTAGAACCGGCCCTGGGGAAGTAGCTATTACCGTAGGTGGCACGGTAAGACCTAGACCCGGGACCGATTTACTTTTTCATTTTGATGTCCCCAGAGGCCAAAAACACCATTCGTTCAAATTTTTATATATGTATACATATATATATATATATACATATAGACTTATATATATATATATACGTCCGTAAACGCGATAACTTGAGTAATTTTTGTCCGATTTTGATGAAACTTGGTTTAAAGGTGTAAAGCGGGATAAACTTGAATGAGTTCGCGAACCAGCACGATCAGACCATGGGAACGGGGCTTTACGGGGGGTTTTATGGGGGGTTTTATGGGGTAAAAATTGGTTTTTCTCACTTTTGGCCCTTAAAACACAAAATTTCCCGATTTTTCTTTAGACCTTTTTAAAGAGCTTAAAAAAACAAATAATTTAGTATATAAAAGTATTTTTATTCGATTATTAGTAACGGAGAAAATTAAAAAAATTGTAAATTTAAAATTCCCATGTTATTCTTATGGAGAATATTGTCAAATGTTGTAGTTTGCTTGTTTATGGATATATTTTGATCAAACTTTGCAAATTTTTTTTAATTTTGTACTCGTTAAACCTAATGTTATTAAAATATATTTAACTGAAAATCAATTCAGACAAATGGAAATTCGCTTAGTCGGCAGGTTTGCTGCGGCGGGGGTATTTACTAATTCAAGCTAATGGCTGATTCGTCCATGCACTATGAGGTCATTTATTTTGTTTCTTTAATAGTTTATAAGTGCCAGGCATTAAATCTATCTTTTTCATTTTACAAACTTTTTCCCGTTTGGGGAGAGTAAAGTTTTTTCCTCTTTCATTTTCTGTAGAAAAATGGATAGAGTTTAGAAGAAACTTACACAAAGTCTAGGAAAGAACGGCAGGTCTATGTTGTTCCCGGTGAATGCAAGCTGAAATTTAATTCAAAGTTACAACTTGAACTCGTCCCAATTGGGTCCTTAAAATACTATCTGACTTTCCCCCATGGAAAGGCCAAAGTTTCAAGATGAAGCCCTCGGCAAGAAATATTGATTGGCAACTATGGCAACAGAAAGAAGAACCTTAACGGTTACATACAATCTATTTTATACATTTATTTTTATTTTGGTAGAGGAAGAGTAAATAACTCTGTTTCATGGTTGATTCAATTGAACCTTTACGGTGAACACAAATGAATAATCTATTTAAGATTTTCAAAATATTTTTGTTATTTGTTTTCAGTCAAAGGTGTGAACTTCTTCGGACCCAGAAGTGAGTTTATAGTCTCAGGTTCCGACTGTGGCAACATCTTCTTCTGGGACAAGAGTACAGAGGCAATCGTGCAATGGATGAGGGGAGATGAAGACGGAGTGGTGAGTAACTGTAGAGTCCCGCTATTCCGAACCAACTAAGACCGAATCATGTTCGGACTAGTAGGAATTTTGAATAACCAGATTTAAAAAATAGGCCTAATATTAACGTATCAGGAAAAACGTTGCGACTGTGGTCGAAGTTTGTGTTGCTGTGATTGTGAAAGATGTTGGTGTTATGGTCGCGATTACGAGAGAGGATGACAATGTTGCTGCAACATTTTAGTGCATTGAAAGATTCTCCAAAATTTAGTTTGAAATAGGCAGATTTTGGAAACAGCTGGTCTAGTACTGTATTTTTGATGGTCATATTTGTTTAAACATATTATATTTTCTATTGTTATTAGCTATTACAGCTTTGATTGTAATAGTCCAAGCAAACTAAACAAACTTACATAGGGATCGTTAAAAAAATTGCAAGAAAACGTTTTATGGTTTTATTTTGTAGAGCTGGGTTTGCAGAATGACATACTAAAAGTTGCCAAAAATCGGTGCACGAGAAAACCACTAAAATCACAATTTAAAATGGCGGCTTTTTCCAACATTGGACAAATTAAAAAAACATATTTCACATGCATTTGTTATACACATTTTTTGAGATATTGACTTGGGACCACCGCCTGTATTTATTGGGGGGTTAGTACTTCATTTTAATAGAGAACATTTTTTTGGCCGCCATCTTGGATCCGCCATATTGGACATAGATAATTTTTTTTCAATGTAATGATAGTGTTGTGACACACATTACCAACTACATTTTTACACAGATTTCAATGCCGAAATCCGTTTTTAAATATCTTTATTCATTTAGAAGATATATTCAAACGAAAACTCTCCACCATACATTTCTTAGGGACGTTTCGTAGTTTGATAATTGTTTTAAAATTATTTTTCTTATATCTCCAGTTCTTATTGACGCTTGTAGTTCGTTCTAGGCTTAAAATATTTAGTAATGTAAGGGCTTTCATTTGAGCTCTTGATCATTAAAATCAGACGAGTTAAAGACCAGCTACGAACCTCAGAACAATATTAAATTTAACTTTTTAGAAACATATTTTTATTAAAAGATTTATAACTCGGGTTGTTAATACGACACCAAGTTCTTTCTGGTCTCAAATTACTCAGTGAATGTTTGGCTTTGATTTTATTAATCACTAAACAAAATCTGACAATTTAAAAATGAGTCATGGTTCTTAATTCAACATTAAAATGTATTTATTTTGAAATTTGTCTTTAGTTAAGGACATATATCCCCAACCCTAATAACTCCCGGAAAGTAATCCATAGCTTAATTAAAAGTCAATAATTAGGCGAATTATTTAAGACTATAAAGAGTTTTGGGAGTTATTTAGAATTGGGGATATACGTCTTTAACTAAAGACAAATTTCAATATAAATACATTTTAATGTTTATGATCCATGACTCATTTTAAAATTGTCAGATTTTGTTTAATGATCAATAAAATTACAGCCAAACATTACTGAGTAATTTACTGAGTAATTTGAGACCAGAAAGAACTTGGTGTCGTATTAACAACCCGAGTTATAAATCTTTTAATAAAAATATATTTCTAAAAAGTTAAATTTAATATTGTTCTGAGGTTCGTAGCTGGTCTTTAACTCGTCTGATTTTAATGATCAAGAGCTCAAATGAAAGCCCTTACATTACTGAATATTTTAAGCCTAGAACGAACTACAAGCGTCAATAAGAACTGGAGATATAAGAAAAATAATTTTAAAACAATTATCAAACTTCGAAACGTCCATAAGAAATGTATGGTGGAGAGTTTTCGTTTGAATATATCTTCTAAATGAATAAAGATATTTAAAAACGGATTTCGGCATTGAAATCTGTGTAAAAATGTAGTTGGTAATGATGTGTCACAACACTATCATTACATAAAAAAAAATTATCTATGTCCAATATGGCGGATCCAAGATGGCGGCCAAAAAAATGTTCCCTATCAAAATGAAGTACTAACCACCCAATAAATACAGGCGGTGGTCCCAAGTCAATATCTCAAAAAATGTGCATAACTGCATGTGAAATATGTTTTTTTAATTTGTCCAATGTTGGAAAAAGCCGCCATTTTAAATTGTGATTTTAGTGGTTTTCTCGTGCACCGATTTTTGGCAACTTTTAGTATGTCATTCTACAAACCCAACTCTACAAAATAAAACCATAAAACGTTTTCTTGCAATTTTTTTAAGGTCATATCCTATATTTCTCCGACTATAATATTGTGAGTGTGATACTGTATTGATCCTACAGTAGTACATCTGCTCTCCCCACTAAAAAGATAATAAAGGCAAACATTTCATTTTAAACATTTTATATTTTATTAATATCTCTTATCCCAGCTATACCAAGTAGAATGCTCTACTGTATGAAATAAAAATATCACAGGTCAAAATTTTAAATCAATACAATGATTAACAATTTTAGAAGAGCATTGAGCACATAAATTAGAAAATGTATTATTCTAGTTACTAAAGTTTGAAAAATAAAAAATTTAAGAATTTAAAATATCCTTACATTGTATTTATTAAGCTAGTACAAATAGTAATTTTTGTCTGCCAGTAAAATGATTTATAGTGAAATGTGTTAAGTTTGAGGAAAACTCAGGCAGCACTAAAATGATAGGAAAGATTACATGGTTGGTGTTTAATCTTTTCTTAGTGAAATTTAAGAAATTTTAGGTGAAAATAGCCTTTCAACAGAGTAAATTAATGCAATCGTAGATGGCTCTAATTAAGTTTGATATACATTATAATATTGTAGGCTAAGTGTTTCTTTTCACTTTAACTCCAATATTTCAATGCTGCTATTTTAAGTATCATCATTCTGACCGGAAAACAAGCCGTTTTTAGTTTTCTAAATTGTCCACAAAAAATAATTGTTTTTGGGTAACTTCAAATAGAGGACAGAAAAAACATATGGTAATTTTTTTTGGCTCGCTAACCTCAAAATTTGTTTATGGCACATTAAAAATGTTATAAAACCGATTTTAAGTTATGTTTGTAAACAACAGAAATATATACGTTGATGACGACTTTGTATCACTTTAAATTATTTGGTATAATTTTGTAACCATTAGAAGGTTATTTCCACAGTATGATGAAAACAGTTGTTCATCACACGGAGCGAAAGTGTCTTTTTGGTACTTAACCGTCGCCTCGCTTGTAAAACATGATTGCATACCAAAAAGAACCACTTTCACCATTTTTTTTTTTTTTTCGGTGATGAAAATTACCATTGTTTTCAACTTTCAGGTGAATTGTCTGGAACCACATCCCCAAGTTCCCATCATTGCTACAAGTGGATTGGACTACGACATCAAGATCTGGGTGCCGTCTTGTGAACAAGAGCCGACACTGAAGGGGCTTAGATCTGTAAGTATGGCTTTTGCTAAATTGCTTTTTAAGATTCCACAAAATTATTTGACACTATTCTTACTAACCTGATCACCTGTTACAAACAGTTCTAAACGTTTGTTAAAAAAATTACTCAATTTTGTAGGAAGTTTTTGATTAAAGTAAACCATTTAAAAACAGTCTTATGCATTGTTCTGATTTTGGTCTACACTATTCACTGTGATTACAAAAGATATTGAGACTGCCGAACTCTTGTATGTATAGGTGTCAGGGACGTCTTTCTGTTAAAAACCGTAATCGGAAAGAGACCACTTTGGCACAATAAACTCAAAATCTGTAGAATAATTAGAATATTTCACTTACTCTAGCTCGTCCAACCAATAAATGAAAAATTATAATTTTAATCCAGAAAAAAAGGTTTGCAGTCATAGAAGGTACAATATTTGCCGTCAAATTTAGTTATACACTTTTGTGCACTATACACTCACATTGTATAACAGAACCACATCACTACAATGCAATTAGTAGTGAATCATGTAGACAATTTTCGGCACACGTTCACTCTCATTTTGCAGGCTATGGAAAATCCCAGAAGGCAAAAGATCCGAGGTCTGAAGCCTCTGGTTCAAAGCAGGGGTTTTGAGGTATTTATCCTCCTACTTAAACCTATAAAAGTTATATCTTAGTTCAGTTAAATGTTAAAGTTCCAATTCATCATTTTTCACATTCATGAATTTTTATATGCTGCTTGGCTAGTTTTCAAGCCCACTCAAAAGATTTAAATGAAAACTACATATAACATATTTAGGTTTATGGTTTATGGTTGTGGTAAAACATATTTAAACCCTAGTATGTCTTGCTTTTTTTGTCATGTCATAACATAATTTAACATTACAAAATACACTGATCTCCACTTTTATTGTTGAGACAAACCACAATCAATCAATCAATATCAATAATAAAATATATTAATTTTGATCCCCTGTGCCAACACACATACAGTACGCTCACACAACATTAGTCCCAATATATTTTATAGTAGGCCTATTTGGGCAAACATTTTTTGTAAAAATTAAATATTCGGATTTGAATGTTTCAGACAGTCATAGGGAACCAAGGTAATCGTGAGCATTACCGAAGCCGAACGTCCGATCCCTTCGACCACCGACAGATGAGATGGCTATGGCAGCAGATACAGCGGTTCGAGCGAATAAGGGTACGTCTCTATCACACACAGTAATTTGTATAAAACTTATAGTTTATTCATATAAACAGCTGTTGAAAGTGCATTTTTTTTTTAAATTAATGCTCATTTTTTATTTATTTCGGCCTACTTATATTCTAGTTATTGAAATTAAGTACGATGCTTGTGTGTAATCAAAGTAATAGATCTGGCTAATCTGAACCTTAACCCTTTCATTGCTAGGCCAATAATTCATATTTTGTAAGATTTTTTTTTTTTTGCCTTTTAATTCCATTACCCGTTGTTGAATTTTAACTGTCATGTTGTCACTATTTTATTAATTAGGCTAATTTTGAATAATAACACAATAAGAAAATATATAAGAAAGATAAATCCCGGTATTTGTAGTAAACATCAAATAAAACTTAGTTTTTGTTGTAATTTTCCTGGTTTTCCTATAAATTTTTATGTTCTGATAGCATTATTTGAAACCGAAATCTCACAAAATCAAAAGACATATAGTTTACAATGTAATATTGAATTTAACCCTGATTTAGTTGGACGAGGTTATTGTAATATAGCAATTTTAGGGAAACTAATGTTTTGCAGCAAAGTCTCAGGAACACATTTACTACTACTAAAACTAAAAGATTGCATCTAAATCTAAATAGTCCGTGACTAGCTCGTGCTGCTACCTAGTAACGCATTGAACAACCATCTGCAGCGCCATCTGTTCGCAATCGGTGGCGACAGCTTAAATACCGGGTTTTGACTCCCCAGTCTTCAAGCACAGATAGCCGAGAAGGCTAGGGCGTGTGTCACTTGGCCAGTGGCATTCGTCTGCTCGGGTTCGAATCCCGTCCTGTGTGGCAAATAATTGGTGACCTGTGTGTTTGTAGCGATATACTACAACCACTGGGGCATAGTGAGGTGTTCATAATCCTTGGTTTAGACATACACCTCGAAATCATCGGATTGGGCGAATCTTTTAGCTAAGTGGTTGGTAGTGTATCCTATGAACATGCAGGTCACCAATGGCCGTTTTGCTATTTTTTTTTTAAATAACCTCCCTCTCTATATCCCTTAGGGTTTTTTTAAAACAACGATATATCGTTTCATAGCACTGAAAGGGTTAACACGTTCAGTTGGGCATACCTTCAAACAGGCGCTCTTCAATTTCATTCCATTATTTCAGTCTGTGAAAGTAGTACACTCAAACACCCAATGGTAGCAGCACTGCCTGAATCCGTAGCGTAGCCATATTCTTTATAATGTGGCTCGAAGAGAGAAAATCCCGAAACCGGGAGAAAAGCATTGCCAGACGTGGTTTTACAGGAAATTTTAGTACCAACCTATACTAGAATAAAGCTCGCATTCTAAGCTACAGGCTGGCAACGATTATAACGTTTCCCAGAGCAATGGTGTAGTTCAATTGGCGCAACTACATCAATAGATGTAAGCCGATAGGAGCATATTCGCGACACATTGATCAATTGATGAAGCCCGCACTGAACGTGTTAAGGAAGAAAATTTACCGTATTTAAATTAAAACAAAGCAATTTTTTCTGTAATCACTAATCACTTTGGCTGTCCAGCCAACTGGGAAACTGGAAAACCGTTGAATTGTTTGTGAATTTTTATGACCAGGAAAAAGTCAGTGAACTACATAATTGTCAATAGCCCATATCTGAACATCCATTTGTTGATGGCATTTGTTAATACCATTTTATGGTTGAATTGTTCTACTAAGAAAATTATAGCAAAAAATTTGTGATGATCATAGTGGTTTTTTTATGATTGTGGGAGAAATAGTCTGTCATAAAAGTACTTAGTTTTATTTTTCCATGCAGTTTCACTGTATTTCTCTGTATTTCTGACGCGAATGCGGTCCCAAGTATTTGAGATTACTGGGACTCTAGTGTACACCGAGTTGTGTCTTGATAGTAATAGCTTGTAAATGTTCTTTAAACAAGTATTTTCCCTAGGGTGCTCCGAATACCTCTACCACTCGTGGGGAAGGAGAGGGGGGTGAGCCTGGCAGCAGCCCAGGACAAGTTGTGTCGTCTACCTCCAACAGCTCTGACGAAGAGGCTGATGGAGTGAGACCTCAATGTACACCATCGTAGGACTCAAGGTAGGTGCAATATACAGTGTGCTTCTTTGTTTTTAATTCATTTATGGGGGATTTATGTTGTTGAGGGGCTTTTGCAGACGTTTCCTATCTAAAAACGTCTTTCAAAATGTTTCAGCATGTGGACACTGATTGCGTCCTCTGGTGAAAAAAATGATAAAACTTAACGAGATTAGTACACAAACTCAGACTAAGTAGGAAATTCGCAAAATAAAAACCCCATAAAAAGTGTATAGCAGAAAAACAAGAAATACAAAATCCATAAAGATAACAAACAAAAACTCAAGAGAATAGAACCAGATTATATTTACTTAGAATTTTAATTTTTTTTACAGTACAGTTCTCTAGGTTTGTTTTTTTTGTGATTTTCTGTATTGAAAACTTGTTCTATGCCGCGATGGGAGATGTGTTCCCATTAAATAAATATACAGGTTGGAGCTAAAAGAGTATTTGTGTTTTCTTGTTTCACCTGACTTGCGTATAACAATACAGATAAGCTTTGATGTTTTAAAATATAAAACTGTAATTTTTAGAAGGGATTGAGTGAACTTTACTGTGAGGTACTTCGCTAATAAGAAATGTGGTACAAATTTAATTTTTGCTGATGAGTCCTGATTATCTAGCCATTGGTTATCCTACCGTTATTGCGGATGATCGAGTACTGTGATATATTCACCTTTTCTGTGAAGTATGACTGTCGACTGTAGCAGTTGCAAGGGACTACACCCTTTTTTAGGGGGGGGGGGAGGGTTTGAGGTATTCATCTACCCCTTGCTACTTCAGCCTTTTAACTTATTGTAGCACTCCTCAACTCAGTCTGACAATTGGCAAAGCCTAGGAGCTGTGAGATGCCCAATTTCCTTCCTCATCTCGATAGGTTCCAATTTCGGCCTTCCCAGTGATTTCAACCTTTTTTGGGCCGTCTCCGGATAGTCCAGTTATAAGTGTTCAGAGGTTTCCACCTCATTTTTGCATATCCTGTATTGGTCTGTCTGTGACCTCCCTATGGTTCTAAGGTGTTTCCTAATAGGTCCATGCCCAGTTAGCATCCCTATTAGTAATCTGATATCCCCCTCTTTAGGCTCAGTAAGCGTAAGCCTTTCCAATCTTTCATTGAGGGGTCTATTAGTGTTTTCGAAGTCCTTAGTCCTGTGTTGATCCTCTAAGCCTCTGCCTTCCAGACCTTTGCCCAGTCTCGGACTTTGGATACTCCAGAACTAATCAGGGTACCTCAGGATTTGGCCCTGCAAGCTGTTATTTTCCCCCCCTCCTGGCCAATGCATCAGCTTTCTCACTCCCCTCATGCCCCGAGTATCCAGGGACCCAAGCTATTTTAATTCTATTCTACTTAGCTAGCGTTTTGAGGGTGTTTTACCACCCTTTACTGTTTGTGACTCTGTCACTCAAGACTCCAGCACCTTAGTTGCAGCTTGGCGGTCTGAGATGATCAGTATAATTTCCCCTTTCTCAAATTCTTGTCAAGGATGGTTTTCACCTATCACCAGGGCCTCCAATTAAAAAAAAAAAAAAACTGTCACTGTGCTTCCCAGGGCAAGGGAGATGTTGGTTTTGTTACCATAAACCCCAACCCCGAACTCTCATCCTTCCGACTTCCAGAAGCTAAAAACTAAAATTCAAAACATGTCCAAGCTAAATCATCAAAATAAACATAAATAATTAACAATAATGAAAAAATGACGATTAAATATCAAGAATAGAGTAATATCTGTTGTCTAACCTAGTTTTTTTTCACTCCTGTCTTAATTTAACTCTTATTATTGATGATTTAGAGTGAAACGGTCATTCATAGGCACCGGTCATTCACTGGGCAAGTCACCCTATAGCCACTTTGTAAGGAATCTCAAAGTCGTACTCTTTAGTCCTGAATATTTTTGACATATTCCATGGTCAAAAACCATGAAACTAAATGGCTTTTTAGTTCCATGCCCATACTCGGGGGGTGACCCTTAGGATCCTCTGACCATACTCGGAACATATTTGCCAGACTGTCTCTTGCACCTCAGTACTGACTTCTTATACTGTGCAATTACGTAGTTCTCTTAGACAAAATCATTGACAGTAAAAATTAAATATGTTTTAAGCATTGGTCATTGCATTCTCGTATAAGTAAACACCGTTTAACTGATGCCCGAGAAGCATCAGCTTTAATAGATAAATAAGCTTATCAAGCTGGTCTAGGGGTAGATTGCGTGGCTTCAATTCCCGACATCCCATGATCAAACCCCAATAATCCAATCCAATAGTACTAATGGCTTTAGCCATGACATATTGCTACCATCCTCAAGGCAGGTCTCTCTTGAAGTTGTGTGCAAAAGCATTCCAGGTTAGGGATTAGCATCCAAGGATTTGATCAAAGACTTTAAAAAACTATGCTTTCTTCCGTTATCATTTATGAACATCCATATAACATTTCATTGCTTTAGTGGGTATATTTTTATCTGTACAGATTTAATATTGCTATTTTCTGTTGTAATCTGAAAGTTCAGTCAAAATTAATTATATAAATAAATAGGCTACAGTTTGAGTTTTGTTGATTTATGCCACTTTTAAATCTTCCACAACATGAAATTAGTGTGGATAATCCTTGAGTCAATCCAAACGTCTTAAATTTAAGTTTAAAATTGTAGTCATGTTGTGAGAGTTTGAAAATCATCCAAATTAACCACCATGGCTCTGTTAGGTGTTTATTTACAAAGATTCATATGTTTCAGACTGTTTTGCTGATCTTTTCCCTTCTTGGTATTTCTCTATTGTCAGGCCTCCAATAAAAAAAAAAAACACTCGGACTGTGATAAAGTGTTTATATTGTAAATAATTATTTACTTGATATATATATATATATATATATGTTATATATTATTGAATAGATGATTTAACATTTCCTAAAAAATACCACTTTCTAGCGAATAATTGAAGTCTTTAGACTTTGGTTAAAACAAAATTTAAGCACGTATTTTATGTTATTTTCCAATTTATTGTGCTAACAGCTGTGTCATGTAGTACACATTTTAATACAAGCCATTTCTTTTAAGCTACAATTTTAACAACAAACTTTGTCTAGAGCTCTTATTTGAGTTGTAACTCAAGGACCTATGTGAACAATTAGTAATGAAACAAGACCAAATAGGTGTTGTCTGAAAACAGTAAAACTGTTAAAAAGAGTCTGCTAGGCTCTGAGTAGCAAATAGGAGAAAAATAAGCTTTGTTTCTATCATGAAATGGTTTCTATATAGGTTCCCATGCAAAACTCAGGCAAGAAATTCAAGTATGCTATCATTTTGTTAGTAAAAATTGTCATTACTGTACCATATTAACCAAGTCAACTGCTGAATTCCGCCATAGACAAATAGAATAAATATCACTCTTAAGGAAGTTTCCGGCACTCACCGCTAGGAGTGCCGTGTAGTTACGGTGCACACCGCTGCAGGCGAGGAGCGCAGGAGCCGTATGTAACCAGCAGACGCTGCAGCAGTGTGTGACGTAACTACACGGCAAACCTAACGGTGGACGCCAGAACCGCCACACGGTGGTGCGCTGTATGCTAACCGCAGCACAGCTGATGGTCTATATTTATTTTATTTGTCTATGATGCCGCAGACCAAATATTTAGGGATCTGTCTAGTCTTGGTTTTATATTTGCTTTTTTAAGTTAAAATCCTCTACAATACAGAAAAACTTCTACCGAAATAACAGCTAAGCGGTTTTGTATAACTTATTCTTCGGTTAATCAATGGTTGGAAACTAAGGTTATTTTGGTTCAATGGTCTGTAATTTTTTTACATTATTTTCATTACCGTTCTTTTAAAATCTACATTTATATAGACAAAATATATCAAACTTATTGACAAGTTTCTGATGACTTTGGGTTGCCAATTAGTTGACCCATGCTAAGGACAATTCCCGTTGCCTAGCCAATGTTCCGAGTTGAGGTTAGAGCTGTGTCAAAAACTGAACACACATCTAGTTTGTTATTCACTATTAATTAATTTATTATTATTTTTAAAACTAATTTTATATCATGTGTTTTGTGTTAAATTATAGTAGATGTAATATTTAATTTGACTTAAAAAAAACATTTTAGGTAGTGTGAATTTAACAGAGTGAGTTTTTCATGTATTTGTAACGTTTAACACAAATGTTTTAAATTATTTATTTGTGTCACAACTTTGTCTTGGCAGTTTTACAAAAATTATGTTTGAAACAAATTGAATTTTTTAATGTACTGTAAATAAACCAGTTATTTATAGTGTATTGTGTTGATGAGAACCTTTTGTTGTGTCCAATGCTAATTCTGAATATTTTATCAGGTTACAGTTAATATCAGAACCAGAAGTGGTTTTCAGCTGGTTTAAGTGAAGTATGATTGTATGGTTTTCAGTGAAAGAATGGTTCTGTTACTCTTGGCATATTGGACAACAACCTTTAAGAGTTTGAAGAGAATTTATGGGGTTGTGTGCACAGTAAAAGGCTGGATAATCATAGTGTAGCAAACAGTAGGGTAAGATATTACAGTAAAACAATGAACAGTGCAAAATAAGTAAGAAGCACTATAGTCCTATCTGAAAATAATGCTGCTTTGATTCCATTCGCCTTCAAAATGATTCAAATCCTACCTGAAAAGCTGGAGTAACAATTTATCAAACATATTTTAATAAACTGTACACCTTCCTACCTGTTTGGTGGTATTATAGTACCAACCAACCTTGTGAAAAATGCATTAACCTTGTGAAAAATAACCTGATTTATAGGTCTGGGAACAATTTTTCTGTGACCCACTCAACTTGCTCCTGGGATCCACTAAAGGGTCTTGACCCTTAGTTTGGGAAACACTGATCTAAGTAGCGAATTATTAAATTATTCAAGTATCCAAAATTCCTTTACAATAAAATGTCTATAGACTATTACTTAGGTATACTTAGGACTATTATTAGGTTACTTACAATCTACAAACCATTTAGGATCACACTTTGTCTCAAATATGTTGCCTATAATCATTTTACGTAGAGTAGTCAAAGTTAAATATGCTCAAAATTAGTTGAATAAAAAAAAATAGTATTTATGAGTACTTAAGCCAGTACTAGATAACCAATTAGTGTTAGATATGTTTTGTTAACTATGCAAACAAGCATATGTGTCAACTGTAATAGTATTTTCATATTGTGATTTTGTGTCTCAGCTTAAAAATACAATCAATTATAAAATTCTGAAAAAAGTTACCTATCGTAACCTCTTCTCATATATAATTTATGGGTTACTTAAAGCAGTATTGTTTGTATTGTAGTTTTTTTTTTATTTTTTATTTTTTTGACAAGAGCGCTGCATTTGGGGTTTTGGTCCAGGAGGTATCTTAAACATTGGCACCCCTCTTCTGTTATTTAATCATATTACTTTACCATATTTTCTTTATATTATTACATTTTTTTTAAATTTTGTACTCTAGGTATGTACCTACATTTCCTGATATGAAGTTATCACTAATTGATAAAAAAATCAATAATGCCACCCTGGTGCCTTGGTGTCACCCCTTTCTATTTACATGAACCACCCCTTGCATAAAGGGTTGTATAGGTGCAGCTAATTGATTGCTAAAAAACCCTTTATGTCCCGAGGGAAGGGTTAGAGGGGAGTGTAAAAAGGGTGAGGAAAGGATTAACTGTTGCATTTTGGTTTTTTACACAGGCCATTTACCATGATGAAGGGTTGAAATCACTGGGGTTCTTTAAATATGCCATATGGAAGGGTTAAAAAAGGGGTGTGTTTATTGTTGTGAGCATGCGTGTACTTTTCAACTATCGACCGGGATAAAAAACCGTGGTACGCACACTCCTCCCTGCAATGGCGGCTTTAGTCTCCGGAAGCTCCAGTGCGGCTCTCAGTTCTGGTCCAGGCTTCACCGAGGGAGGCTCAGCCATGTTTGAGAGAAGTTAGCCGAAGCTTTGATGAAGAAAGTTCTACTGTGACTGTTATTTGTGAATGAAATGACTTGCACATAATTTATATGGCGTAACAGATTTTTTTCCCATGATTCGGTAAATTGTTAGTGGTTTTTCGTGTGAAGTGAAGCCTAAAACTACATTTTTATCTTAGAAAAGTGTTTTATCACAGCTAAACATATAAGAATGTTTTGTATAAAATTTCAAATTTGTAGATATTGGATGAATTTAACTCTTTACTTCAACTTACTGTGTATTTTAACCACAAAACAAATCAGCAGTATGGTTTTCTATGACAAGTTTATAGTTCTCCAAGAGAAGGGAAGCATCAACTATGGTTGGATATTTCAAGATCGTGATCATGGATAACACCTTTCAGAGGTAAGATCTCACTGTACATAAAATATTTTAAAGTTTAAATTTAGATGAATAATATTTAAGGGTGTAGAATAGTTTAGATTGTAGTCACAATGAAACTAGACTTATTACGGATTCTGGTTTAAAAATTTATCGTTATATCCTTACAGTGAAAGAGCAAATCGTAAAAAAATTACATAACCATGAGCTTTAAGATCCAGAATGTCTTGACGTTTTTAGACCTGCAACGAAAACATTCTACCACCTTTATGTTAACAAATTATTGGCTCAAGAATTTATTTAGTTTTTTCTTTGAAGTGAAATTGTCTAGCTCATAAAATATTTTACTTGCTTGTATGTTGATGTTTTTATATTCATGATCTACAATAGATCATCAAAATTAATTAGTGTTAATTAGTGCATATTTGGGTTGTTGAATTTTCAGTAGTCGGACATTAAATTAAAAAGTCTAGTTAATCGTGACTTCAGTAAAGGGTCCTTCAAACTTAGCCCAAGGCGTAAGCTATCATGGTCTATGAGATTGCCGGGGAAACTATTTCCTGCAATACCACCGCACTCGACAACGGAGCTCTAGTAGTAATACTGCTTCAATATCTGACCATCTCACCGTGATTGTGTGTAAGTTCAAGATCTTTGGTGTTGATTCCTGAGCAGTTGCCTAGCCAGCCAAAGCCAATCATTCACTGGATAACTCAGTAGAATTCAAACTGAGTGTGGATATTAGACCAATCCATTCCAGTACTAATCCTAATCTCAGCTAGTCCATTACTCTGCTGTCCCAGACCCATCCACCTACACTTTTGCCCATAGCCACTGCCAAACTAGCCATACAATTAGACATGCAAAAGCTTAAAAAAAAAGAAAGCAATTAGCCGATCACTGTCTCTCTAGATATACATACAGAAGCAATAGTCTCAACCAGTAGCAAACTAGACACAATTACCTCTGTCCTCCTATCTCATCCACAGACTATACTCAATTCCACGTCCATCGCACAGAACAGCTCTTATGGCAGACTATCCTGCTAAAAATGTTCTGTAAACTTTATGTAAATCTTTATTGTCATGAGGGTTGCGTCATCTGTTTTTGCGATACTCCTAAAGGTGCAACAGTATATTTTACTTATTTCTATACGTTTACTGTATGCTTTTTGTTAACATAGATATGGTACATATGACTTAGCGACAGTACAATATTAGACCAATCCACTGCCTCACATTGACTGAAGATAATGAATAAAGACAAGCTGTAGCTTGCTCCTTGTTGAAATAGGGCATTGTAGAATTGTCTTCTCACATAGTGGGCTTCTGTCATTTTCCCGTTTAGTTTCTGATAATATATGATATATATAGTTTACAATAGGGGTACCTTTTTGGTTTTGTTATAAAGCTGGCACATGTGACAGAATTCTGTAATTCTCCTTTGCCCCCCTTCCTGACTCCAAGAAACAAACCAACACCCGCCTTTATACCCTCCATGTCCTCAATAACCTTTGATGTTTCACTTCAACCCTTGCTAGACTATACTCTGTAATCCATCATGTCCTAAGATACGCTTTTCAACCCCTCCTGATATGCCTCGATCGTATTTAAAGCCTAGCTACAGAAAGGCGAGTCTTACGGTTAACTTCTAATCTATCTCTCTTCTGGGCCAGGAAACGGAATGTTTACACCTCCACCGTGCAGTCTCAGAGACGGCCCAACCCTACTTCACCAACCGGTCTAGCATTAGAACCCAGCTCACAAATCCAGCAACTAACCACACCAATTCAACCAACAACAACGACCCAACCAGCCACAGAAAACCAACCAACCACAGAAACCCAACCAACCACAGCTTCCGAACCAGCCAAAGCAACCCGACCAACCACAACTACCCAACAGGCCAAAACAACCCAACTAACTACATCGACTCAACCAACCACAGAATCCCAACCAACCAAAGCACAGACACCGACACCTAGCCACCCAAAGCAACACATCCAACTAATGCAGCCCAAACAACCACAACAAATCTACCAGCCACAGCTTCCCATCCAATTAAAGTAACCTAAACAATCACAACAGCCCAACCAACTAAATCGACCTAACTAGCCACAGCTTCCCAACCAACCACAGCTTCCCAACCAGTCACAGCTACCCAACCAGTCACAGCTACCCAACCAACCACAGCTTCCTAACCAACTACAGCTTCCCAACCACAGCTTCCCAACCACAGATTCCCAACCAACTACAGCTTCCCAACCAACCACAGCTTCCCAACCAGTCACAGCTACCTAACCAATCAAAGCTTCCCAACCAGTCACAGCTACCTAACCAATCACAGCTTCCCAACCAACTACAGCTTCCCAACCAACTACAGCTTCCCAACCAACTACAGCTTCCCAACCAACCACAGCTTCCCAACCAACCACAGCTTCCCAACCAATCACAGCTTCCCAACCAACTACAGCTTCCCAACCAACTACAGCTTCCCAACCAACTACAGCTTCCCAACCAACTACAGCTTCCCAACCAACCACAGCTTCCCAACCAACCACAGCTTCCCAACCAATCACAGCTTCCCAACCAACTACAGCTTCCCAACCAACCACAGCTTCTCAACCAATCACAGCTTCCCAACCAACTACAGCTTCCCAACCAACTACAGCTTCCCAACCAACCACAGCTTCCCAACCAACCACAGCTTCCCAACCAACCACAGCTTCCCAACCAACCACAGCTTCCCAACCAATCACAGCTTCCCAACCAACTACAGCTTCCCAACCAACCACAGCTTCCCAACCAGTCACAGCTACCTAACCAATCACAGCTTCCCAACCAGTCACAGCTACCTAACCAATCACAGCTTCCCAACCAACCACAGCTTCCCAACCAGTCACAGCTACGCAACCAATCACAGCTTCCCAACCATCTACAGCTTCCCGACCAACCACAACAGTTCAATCAACAACTTTAAGCTATCGCTATGCTCATCTTAACCCTAAAACCAAACAACATTAACCTCACTACCAGTTGCGTCACTAATTTGTGAAACAACATTCGTAACACACTCAGGTTCTGTCAAAGCTCATAATCCACCCAAGGCTGAAGAGGACAAAGTCCTTGAACATCCCCAGTAGGCTCATCAGCCACTAAAACATCACGTCATCCCACACGTCCGTTTCGAGGCTAAATCCAATTGCGATAATCTGTATATTAAACTGAGTATAGCTTAAGACGTAAAATTCTGTCAAAATTAACACGTGTAATCTGGACAACTAACTGTTTAAAATCATTCTAAGAAATCTGTGTGCTCCCCTTGGAGCTCTTTCATCATAGTACGAGAATGAACAATCATACAAACGATTGAACTATCTGACAGTGATCATCCCTACTTTAACTAGCTATTACAGTTTGTTTGGTATTGAATGCAAAGTTCAGCCTGAAACATTTTAATAATACATCGACGTTTTTGATTAATATTAACACATTCAACAAGTATAAGAATTAGCATAATCTAAACATCCTACTTTTCAAATTAACAAATTTAAAGAAATAATTATGCAAAGATATAAAATTTAGCAATGTTGTCAATAAAGATGAGCAGCATGCAAAAGTGCTTAGAAACCCGTACAATGGACCACTTAACCCTGTGGAGGGGCTGTAAACGCCATTAAACAAATTGAACCTCCCCTTCTCCAGGAATCATTTTTTATCCGGCTTGAATGGATAATTTTGTGGAAGAATCGCCAACTTACTTAACCCCATTGACCGCCCGCTGGTGCCCGGAGATAAGGGAGGGCGAAAAAACTCGAGGTTTTTATTTTCAATCATAACTCGAGTGGGGGAGCGCCCTCTTGGAAATTATAGATAATGTGTTTGGGAGATTATCTGCGTGGTGGCTGAGGCGGGTAGAAGGCAGGTGGTAGGGCTATAGACGACAAGTGTGGTGGTAGTTACGCCACTCACATCTTGGCAACACCGCACACTTGTTGGACCTTAACTTTTATTTCGCAGCTTAATCTGAGGTAAAGACTAGGAAGTTGTATTAGTGAGGGTATTTTGCACCGAGGTCCGAAAATTAGGTATCGCAGGGTGGAAGATGTGCTTCAAATGTCGAGAGTTTGTCAAACGCTCTCAACCAAGCTACAAATTTAGTATCCAATAGACAAAAGTTTTCATAAAACGCGAACTGTGAATATTCGTTAGATGTGTCAAAAGGTGTCAAAAGTGTTTCCCTTAAAAGTGTTTGACATCATTAAAAAAATGCCACTGGCGTAGACATGAGGAAAAAAGGGAATATCTAGTAAAACCTGTCATAAAAATGACTATTGAGACGTGCTGCGGTAGAAAAGTCCAAACCGTTAGCGAGTTTTGAGTGGATATCTTGTTAAATAGGTTAATTTTTCTTCGGATGTCTTCTTATAACACACAAACGCACGGTACATAGTGAGTTATCATGTTTGTTATGCTGCCTTAACAATAGTGATTTACTGTAGTATTATTGTATTTCAACGCATTATTCGATTAGAAACGCGTGTTTTGATGCAATAGGCAATTAATTGTCATAGATTTACCAACCAAACATGGTAAATTTACAATTGAAAACTATCTCTACTTAAATCAATTAAGTTTTTTTTGTGAGCTTCTGCTTAATGCCTCAAAAGTTAACCGCTTTTTGAATAAATCGTCTGAATCAATTGAACCAATCAAAGTTTGGAGAGCCGGGCAGGTTGCCAAGCGGCGCGGGACTTAAAGAAATGTCCTCTCTTGGATATTTATGGGCAAGATTAGCTAATTTGAACCCGTTTGTAGCCTAGGAGAGAAGATCTTTCAAAATACGCTTACTTTATTGTACATTTATCCTAGTTTAAAGCATTTGTTGCTTTCTCGCCTTTCAAAACAATCGAGATATTGGATTTCTACGCTCGGCTGTTTGTTTTGTTGGTTCATTTTGTATCATCGCGATAAAGGTTTGTAAAGATTATTGTAACAATTTTGTTAGTTGGCTGAACAAAATTACATAAAATGGGCCATAAAGAATTGTTAAGCCTAGTTTTACCTACGGATTCGAGTCGGTAATGCAATGTTAAGATAGTCTTATCGAGTTGTTTATACGTATGCGATTCCTCGTTTGACACGAATTATGTAAAAACATGTAGTTTTAAACAAATTGTCTGTGAATTTTCTAAGAGAATTTCGTACAATGAAACTCAAAATTGTAAACGGCTTAGTTTTAAATAATCAAAGTTAAACTTCCACCAACCGAAATGATAAATCTCAAGTTACAGAGTAAATATTTTTGGTTGTAGGTCAGAGGGTCCCAGGGTTACCCAGACAAGGGTCGGTCGTAAAATATTTGAGCGAGTGCGGTCAGAGGGTCCCAGGGTTACCCCTCATTAGCGATGGGACTCTCTGGCAACGCCAGCCAAGAGAGGGTTAACGCGCAAGTCACTGAAATACCCTACACGTGGGGTTACTGTTGGAAATAAATTATTTTGCGTTTCAGTTGCATTACAACCTTTATTATATGCACAATTTTCTATGGAGGTAAAACTCGATGTACTACTAGTTTCAAGGAATATATCTCTGGTTTATGTATTTTAATCAGCCTTGTTGAAATATCATAATTAATAACTTCATTGAGATTTAACTCTATCTTCCAATTAAAATGTATTAAACAAATGGAAAAATGCAAAAGAGAAAAATAAACAATCAACTATAAATAAAAGACCAATGTAACAACTGACACACTGTACTATATCTACACAATAATATCATACAAAGATCTAAAGGGGTCTGCTGTGGGTATGCTAATCAAGTACGTAAAAACTAAGAAAAATAAAGTTACCATACCTCGGATCTGTTTAGGACTGTTCATGCTTCGATATCGTCCGAGGGCTTTGCTTGCTGATTGTTAATGAAATATTTATTTAGTTTTTTATCTATCTATCTATCTATCTAAAATACTAATGTTTGGGTAAACACTGTTATGTATAAAACGTTTAGATCATATATAGAGTACAATAATAAAGTCTTGAAAAATAATAGCCTAATTTATTAAAAAATAAATAATGATTACATAAGTTTAGATAGATTATTAGTACCACTTAATAATCATAAAAAGACGTCAAACAGTAAAACTAAAAAATACAACTATTTACAGTAATTGACATGAAAACAGAGAAAAAAACTACTGATATACTGTTTAAAAACAAATAATGAAAATTTGAAGGAAATTCTATTTATTTTTAACGGTATAAGGATATGAATAATAATTATCAGTGTCAACCCGTTTTGATGACACTTGCAAAACTATATTAAAACAATTTAACTATATGTGAAGTATGTAGGGCCTACATGTGAAGTTCTAAACTGCTGCATGTCTTAAAAAACTAGAATGTTTAGGAATTAACATTGTACGAGAGTTTATACTGTTTAAAGTTATTTGGCAAAACTCTCGGCAGTACACGAATACTCGAACAGACTTTCTGTTCTCCTATTCGTGGCAACCTATTAAAAGCCACGGATGGTCTAATGATAGATGACGTTTGTTATAAAGCTTAGAAGAAATCTTTCCAATATCACACAAAACATCTTTAGTTTCGTATGAAATAGTTATTTGTGTAACTAGTGGCAAAGTGGCACATTGCTGCACACGAGAATCTAAAAAAAGAATCTAAAGGCCTTTTGCACTCGTGTTACACATTATATTTTTCCTACAGTCACTATAAAGCATATAAATAATTAGTCTTTGAAACACTATACATCACGTTTTAGGGTTCAGCTGGCAACACAAATAGGTGCCCTAGAGAAAGTAGTACCCGGTCACTCCGCTATTTTTCCTCGGCAAGAAATGTGCTCCGTGACTTGAGAATATAGTTCCGTATGTTTTTGTAATTTGAAGTGATTTCCGTGCCTAAAAAATGCTTTAAAGGTATTTTCTTGTTTATTAAGATCGTAGGAATGTTTTAAAAACGTTTAAATAAAAGTCCAGAAAGTTCAGAAATACCGAGACTATAAACACGAAATGACAGATTAAATCGTAGTTATAATAGTCAATCAGCTGTTCATAGTATTGTTATCTTGTAGTGTTGCCAACCTATTTCCAAGCGTACACGGATTACGTGCATAATGGAACCACGCTGTTTTGTGTTGTTTCGTTGGAATCCTGATGTGCGCCAAAGTATAAACCGTACGACAAAGTATATATATATACAGCAATTAGCAGCTTTCTGTACTATAAACAGTACAAGGAAGCCAAATTTGTCGGGTGACTGTAGGAAGATTTATTTATTGAAATACTTTTGATAACTCATTTATAAGATTTGGATAACAATTTTCATTTTATCTTATTGAAATGTGTGTATTTGCCTCTCCAGAATAAGAAAAATTAATTTGACCTTAGCGACAATAGGCCCTAATTCCGCGTGCGTTATTCCAATTCTGCAACGAACACAATCTTTGAGTGCGCCTTGCGCCCTTAAGGGTAAGAATTTTACAATTCTAAAACCCTTATTGCAAAACTACAAATTGAGACGAATCCTTTGACCCCTCAAACGTTGAAATTGGTCTACAGGCACAGATGAGGGAGGAGTAGTGTTCACAAAAAACTGCCTCACATATTATACATATAGAATAGATAGACAGATATATTTATTGAATTCTTTAAACATAGTTAAATCAACATAGTTTTCTAGTACTATTTCTTTCTGGCAAATGAATAGAACACTTCTATATTTTGAGGTTAAACACGATCATATGCCTAAAAATGGAACGCCGAGTGACTTGTCACCTAATTACTGGAATCTAAGAAATTCGAACGGATTAACGGAGCTTGTTTTTGCATTGTTCACTCATATTCCATTTACCTTTCCAAGTGCTGACCTATGTTTCTGAATTAGCTTGAATTCAACAATAAGTCGAATACTTTGTTATAAACGGACCAAACAACATTCTACAATAGGCATTTCCATC